GTTTGGTGAATGGATGTTCTACCATGGAACCGTTGCCTTTAGGAAGGTGGTGAGCTCTTATGCCTTCTGAGGTGATTTTAATTGAGTCTGACAGTCTGGGTGGCAAAATAAATACTTAGAAGGTGCTTGGATGGCAGTAGTGGTTTAGAGACGCTCGGTGTGGAGTTGGTTTGCTGCTGAGGATTGACACCTTCCTTCCAGGAGAAGTTCAAGCCATTGCACTGAAAGTAAAGCAGGTAGAAACTGGAGCAACTGGATATTTCTAAAGTCCTTTCCAACCTAGACCATTCTATGATTATGTTTTTCCCTCTTCCTAAAGAGTCTAAACCAACTATGCCTGGCTTGTTATGAGTTAAGGGATTTGTCATGCCTCGCCTGCAGGTGACACTGTGGTTGTGTTAGCTGGAACAGTTTTCATGGTCTTTGATGGAAATGAAGTGTTTAAACACTTTACTAGGAAGCTAATACAAGTTTTAAGAGTAAATCCAGTCTGAGAACCATTGTCTTAAATGCAGTTTATTTTCTCTCAAGGCTGAGAGAGCTGGGACTGTTCAGCTGGAGAAGGCTCAGGGAGACCTGATCCCATGTGCCAGGAGTTAAAGGGGGGCTACAAAGATGGAGACTCCCTTTTGAGAAGGAGTTCCATGGAACAAATGAGGGATGATGGGAACAAGTTACTCCGGGGGAGATTCCAGTGGGACGGTAGGGAAAATGTTTCCCAGTGAGAACAAGCAGCCATTGGAATAATCTCCCCAGGGAAGTGGTGACTCCCCAGCATTGGACACTGTTAAGATTGGGCTGCACAGGGTGCTGGCACATCTAGTCTAGGTCATACTTTGCCTGGAAAGGTTGGAGCAGATGATCCTTGAGGTGCCTTCAACCTGGGATTCTGTGATTCTATGATTCTATGAACATTTATGGTTGCCTGTGATGTTGGAATAAATAGTAAGTGTAATATAAAGTACCCCTTAGTATGATAGGCTGGTCTTCTACAGAGGCAGAGCTGGCCTTCATATAAGCTTAATGTCTTCTTTCCTCAGATTCTTCCTTACAGGTGCTTCCTGAATTTGAGGACAACCCCCCAGATTTTACAGAAACAATCTGGGCAGTTACTGACAGTTTAAACACTGTCTGTCCTCTTACCAATGTCTTTTCCTAATGCTGAAGTTACTCACCTTGTCACGCTGGATTTGTAGCATTAGAGATTTGGGGATACAAGTAGAGAAAGTCATCAAATTGGATGAATGTAGAGTTCTTCTAAGACCTTGGAGAAACAGGAATATGTACTTCTGAGTTACATGTGAGTAGCTACTTTAGTACATCTCATATTACATATTACTTTATTACATCAAATACCTTTGAGTGCTGTCAGTTAACATAGAAGCCAAAGTCACAAGGACAGTAAACTTCTGTCCTCCTTCTTCTTTTTGAGGTGAGTAAAAGGAATTAATCTGTGTAATTGAAAGAAATTATAAAGTGAGATTATTCTTCTCCTTAAATACCAGTGCCCTGAAGTTCTGCTGTCTTGAACTAATCACAAAATATGATGCATCTCCTCTGCTACACCTCGTTTCTGTGGAGTAAGTGTTGCTAGTAACTGCTATGGGAGCAGAGTCTCCTATCTGATGTCTTGCTTGTTTTTCAGTTCATGTTTACTATGTGTTTTTGCTCAATGGAGTAATGTTTCACACAGCACTTGGGAAAACAAAGCTGTATATAGGAGCTGAATATTAGGAAGTGGCAAATAGTATTTTATTATTAGACCATCATTAATGATTTACTCACAGTCCCATGGCAAATACATGGTCATAAACGTGAGCACAAATCTTGGACACTCATTAAAACGTGTGTTTTCATGGATGTCTGGGCCTGTAATTCCCTGAAGGAACAATCTCATCTTTAAGTAAAGCACTGCTTTAGCAAATGACATTTGGTTCCTTTGGCAACTGAGTGTGGGGTAGATGGAGGTGGGTGATGTTTAATAGCAACAAATGAAACCAGAACACAGTTTCTTGGGAGAATCCAGACAGCAACAGTCACCTCCTGCTTTTGTTTTCCCACCTTTTCAGCTCTCATTGGCAAAACATCTGTCTTCTCCCTGCATTCGTCTCATCTTAAAATTGATTTTGATGTTAAAGGGGACTTGTATGAGTTCTACTGTCACAGGTCACGAGTGAGGGTTATTACTGTTGTTCAGCGTCTTAGTATTTATTGGAGGAGGTGGAGTAACTGTATGTGTGGGGGTGGCTGTTAGAAGATATTAAACTTATAGAAAGATGTAAGAGAAATGCTTTATGGTTTGGGGCAGGGGGAACCCACAGTTCTTAGTGATGGTGCAGCCTTCCAGTGACTAAAGGGGCTCCAGGAAACCTGGAGAAGGGCTTTGGACAAGGGATGGAGGGACAGGCCAAGGGGAATGGCTTGAACCTGCCAGAGGGGAGACTGAGATGAGCTCTGGGGCAGAAGCTCTTCCCTGTGAGGGTGCTGAGGTGCTGGCACAGGGTGCCCAGAGAAGCTGTGGCTGCCCCATCCCTGGCAGTGTTCAAGGCCAGGTTGGACACAGGGGCTTGGAGCAACCTGCTCTAGTGGAAGGTGTCCCTGCCCGTGGCAGGGGTTGGGACTGGAGGAGCTTTAAGCTCCCTTCAACCCAGACCAGGCTGGGGTTCAGTGGTGTGGTTGATTGTCAGAATGTGAGAGCAGGAAGAACAGGAGCTCTGCTTGCTAAAGTGAAAGAGAAATCTCATTTTTTCTCACTCCTTGCTCCCATTTGGTGTTTGCTGCACTTGACATGGGCTCCGTCACTCCTTAGAGGTAGAGAGATTCCTCTTTCAGAGCAGGCGAGACGACTGCAAATTAGGAGTTAACCTTGTCACATCGACGGGGAGGTATTTTAGGAACCAGACCAAAACCTGGGAATTAACCCATGGCTCTGATGCTTCAGCTGCTTTTTCCTCTGCCACTAGAAGGCAGATGAGTTTTTTGGCAGCTTCTGGGTTTACTTGTAGGTTTCTTTTGTAAATACATCCTCATCTCCTTGTGTTGATACAGACACAAAAGGCAATATTGCTTTGGGTTTAAGCTGTTCCAAAGCCAATATAGAATGTGGTTTATGAAGTTAAATCGTATTATTTTCCTTACATCCTAACTTTACTTACTGTGCATCTCTACTATTTGCAATATGAAAATGGGTTGTAGCAGAAGCAGTGGTTTTGTTCATGGCTGGATACAAGAATCTGACATGCATTCCTGTGATCTTGGCTGTTGGCAACAGTGAGCTCCCTTAATGCAATGCTTTTCATGCTCTGAAACCTTAGAATTGAAGGGTGACTATAAAAAGGAGTCATCTCTGAACATCTGATTGTAGTAGGAGGGACAAATGTGGTGGGTTTGATTTGTTTTGCTGGTTTATTTCTTCTGCCCCCAGGCTTGTGCTTTGGTTAACCAAATCCACTGTAATCCCATCAGGAGAACGTGGTGATCGAAGAGTAATTTATATTGGATGGTTGTCTTAATCCAGGTTCTGTCATTGCAGCAGAAAATATGAATCCAAGCCCACCATATCCCTTGGCTGGGTCCATATGGAACTAATAAGCTGTGTAATAAATGGCCTCCTCTTGTACAATGCAGTGCTGAGGATGATTTTCTTCCAAAGCTATTTTTCTTTCTGAAACACAGAAAAGCAGAGAAATCATGCCCAATTTTGAGTCTTTTTTGGTCAGAAATCTTTCTAACTTGAAGGATTCTTGCTTACACCCTACTGCCATCAGTCATGGAAACAGGTGTGGATCCTAAAAACCAGATTTAACTTGGAATGGGGTTATTGTGCCAGGTTGGACACGGGGGCTTGGAGCAACCTGCGCAGTGGAAGATGTCCCTGCCCGTGGCAGGGGGTTGGAACTGGAGGAGCTTTAAGGTCCCTTCCAACCCAAATCATTCCATGTTTCTATGCTTGTTCCATGTTTCAGCAAGTATCTCGGTATCCAGTTTGTGCAGTTACTGTATGTGTGCAGTGGAGGCCAGCTGTGGCTTCTAGAGGGTGTTAACTGGTATCTAGAGGGTGTTAACTGGTATCTAGAGGGTGTTATCTGCTGAGAACTGTATATTATGCTAATTCCTCTTTATCCTGATAGTCTTAAAGATACTGGAATTAAGGGATATTTTGTTTTTCATATTTTAACCACAGGAGGGATAAATTTCCCTGCAAAGTTTCCCTGAAGTGTTGAGATTCACACTTGAAAGGCAGAGTTTTTCCCTTCAAAGGTCTTTGTAGCTTGGGGACTTCTTAAATAAGTAGTTTATAACCATCAGCAGTGACAGTTCTGTTGGGTGCTTCATTTGATAACCTGAAGGTCAGAGCAAGTTTGGATGGTGTCAGCATATGGAATCTTTTCCTTTCTGATTACCCCCACACAGGAGTTACTACTTGGCTTCAAGTCAGTCAATGCTTGAAGCCTTTTCTCTTAGCTACATGGCATTGTATTTGAATGCTGGGTTTAAGGGTGGGAGTAACAGCAGCAGTTTAAATGTTGATGTAAACTCTATAAGGAACAGATTTAGACCAGTTGTGTGACAGTATGTACTTGTACGAGCCGATATCACTGTCATAATTCCAACATACATTGATATGCTCAGAATGACACTTGCACATGAATAGATGTTTGGAGTCAGTGAATATAGAACATTGTGTTGAAACTGGGTCTTTCCACCTAATGGCTGTGTTTTTCTTAAGCTGAGAGGCTGCTCTCCTGCTCCAAATAGGAAATGGAAAAGGTGTAATGAGCTTTAACAGGCATATTGATTATTTTCTCCCTGTTCTTGGGTGGCTTTTGTTAATAGGAGGTTGTGAGTATTAAATGGAACATTTCCTTAAGGGAACTGCTTGATTATCCTACGTTTTCTTTGAAAAGCCAGTAAATGAACTGACCATAATGTTATATTCATTGGAATGTGGGATTTGGAAAGCAATGCTAATTTTGGGTTTCTTTTTCCTGTTTTTATAGCTTAGATATCAACATGGGCTGAGTACTCCAGATCTACGGCAAACTCTTCCTAACCTGAAAAACTTCATGGAGCTCGGGCTAATGGTTAGATGGTAAGTGGGGGGTTGTAATTATAAAGAAAGAGCTGAATGCTACATAATGTTTAGATATAAGCAGTTAAGAGCTTCACAGGAGTTAAGCATTAAGATTGTGACTTTCCCAAACTACAGGCTATGGAAATGTCCACAATATTTTGCTCTTTGTATCTGCTGTTATATCTTCTAAATGATGAGCACATAACCCTTGTCAGAGGTGTAGGGAGATGGGGGGGAGGATGTTTGAAAAGCAGTGCTTTTCACCAGAGGGAGGTGAATTCATCACAGAATCCCAGAGTGGTTTGTGTTGGAAGGGAGCTTAAAGCTCATCCAGTCCCAACCCCTGCCCCGGGCAGGGACACCTTCCACTAGAGCAGGTTGCTCCAAGCCCCTGTGTCCAACGTGGCCTTGAACACTGCCAGGGATGGGGCAGCCACAGCTTCTCTGGGCACCCTGTGCCAGCGCCTCAGCACCCTCCCAGGGAAGAGCTTCTGCCTCAGAGCTCATCTCAGTCTCCCCTCTGGCAGGTTCAAGCCATTCCCCTTGTCCTGTCCCTACAGGCCCTTGTCCAAAGCCCCTCTCCAGGTTTCTTGTCAGCCTTGTTGAACTTCATGAGGTTTGCACTGGCAAAGCACAATTTCAAAGCCCAGAAGCACTGGTCCATGTGAGCTCTAAGCTGGTGTCCAAATCGCTTATTTTGGGACAAGAGTCTTGGCAAAGGGAAAGAAAGACGGGAGTAGAAAAAGGAACATCTTTGAGCAATGCTGTAAAAAGTGGTGCCTGGTGGAAATTCAACTCGGCCAACAAAATAGTGGAAATAAAGAGGCCCTGAGAAAAGGCAGCTCAGTCCCTTGTGCTGTTTTATTCTCTGTCAGTAGTTTCAAGCACAGCTGAAAAGATTTTCCCTCCTTTTCTTCTTCTCCCCTAGTAAGATGCATAACACAAAGCTTTCTTCATGTTATTGGGGATAATATTACTGTGAGGTTTCATGTGGTATCCATCTCTGTGATGTAAAACCACTAGGATGATGTGTGGTCCCCTCAGCAAACATGGAAATGAAGGGCTGAAATACCAAAACCATGGTTTCTGTAGTGCTGGTGTGCACTCACCAGTGGAATGGGGGGGTACAGGTTGTGATGTCTCCTTCTGACTTGAATAAGCAGTGGTGGGATGTCAAATGGGAATCACTTTCCAAGTGTAGGTATCTGTAAGGTATTGTGAGGGTGCTGAGGCGCTGGCACAGGGGGCCCAGAGAAGCTGTGGCTGCCCCATCCCTGGAAGTGTTCAAGGCCAGGTTGGACACAGAGGCCTGGAACAACCTGCTGTAGCGGAAGGTGTCCAAGAGGGTTGGAACTGGGTGACCTTTAAGGTCCCTTCAACACAAACCCTTCTGTGATTCTATCTGTTCATCCCTCCTGGTGTGTGCGGCCTTTAAAGAACTGATATTGGAAGCTTTAGTGCAGCTTTGCTGTCATACAACCAATTCTTTTTCTCCTATAGGTGATACACAGTCATTAGCAAGGCAAAACACATTTTTTTGGCTGGATAATATTTCCAAACAAGTAGAAATATTAAGCAAGGTTCTGTGGGAGTATCACATTCCCTCCTCCCTGTGTGTCTATGCCTCATTTCCTTCTCACCTCCAAAACACGTATGAAGAGTTGTTCATTTTTAACTCTCTTTCTTTTAAGGCTAATGATTCCAAATAATGCTTCTTAGTACTTCCTACTAATATAAATGGAAATGAGGCTTTACAGGGAGTCCAGCTCAAGGGGAAAACCGGCTAGACTGCCCTAACTGGGCCTTGCAGTTGAGCACATACATACAGAGCACAGATGCCCACTGTCTTGTGGATAATATCTGATTACAGATATTTAAGCAAGCTTAAAGGCCACCCGCTGTTAACATGAAGATTTGAAGGAGTATTTTGTTTTCAGGATGCTGGAGGTGAGTTACCTTATCCCCAGTCCCATAAACCACAGTCCATACAGTAACTCCACGTTCTTCGCTTGCAGGATGCGAGCAGGAACATAGAATCACAGAATGGTGTGGGTTGGAAAGGACTTTAAGATCATCTAGTTTCAACCCCCTGCCATGGGCAGGGGCATCTCACACTAGATAAGGTGGTGATGGGTTTTTCTTACCTACAGATCTGCTCACACTGCCTCGTTGGTTTGGTTTTGTTGGTGCTGGTCTTTGGTTTCCTTTCTCAGAACTGTAGCTGGGTTTTGGTGAACTTAAGTTGTGTCAAAGTATAATCACACTGGTAAAAACCAACACACTGTAATTAGGTTTTCTTTGAACAGGACTGGTTTTAACTCATGGCCTGTGCATCAACCTAATTTTTGCTTTTGAGTAGAGACATTGCTCTGCAGTCAGGAATGGAACTGAATCCCCTACATATGCAGGGTAACAGAAATACACAGTTATTTAACTTCTTTTTCTGATAAGCATCATAGACTAATAGAATGGTTTGGGTTGGAAGGGAGCTTAAAGCTCCTCCAGTTCCAACCCCTGCCACGGGCAGGGACACCTTCCACTAGAGCAGGTTGCTCCAAGCCCCTGTGTCCAACCTGGCCTTGAACACTGCCAGGGATGGGGCAGCCACAGCTTCTCTGGGCACCCTGTGCCAGCGCCTCAGCACCCTCCCAGGGAAGAGCTTCTGCCCAAGAGCTCATCTCAGTCTCCCCTCTGGCAGGTTCAAGCCATCCCCTTGGCCTGTCCCTCCACCCCTTGTCCAAAGCCCCTCTCCAGGTTTCCTGGAGCCTCTTTAGGCCCTAGAGCTGCTCTAAGGTGTCCCCTTCTCCAGCTGCCCCAGCCCAACTCTCTCAACCTGGCTCCAGAGCAGAGTTGCTCCAGCCCTCAAAGCATCAAAGTTTAGTTGAAGTACAGACTAGTTTCTTTACCCCTTCCAGCTTTTGTAGAAGATCCCATCTATTTCATTCTTCAATCAGAGCAAATTTATCTTTCAAGTCTTTGCTTCAGTCTTTCCTTTCTCAGTTGCTCTGGGGTAACCCCTGTCCCCAGTGAAGGCTTGTGGAGTCTAGTGCCTTTGCCTCGAGGTGTAATTGTGTTGCTGCTGGGTCCCTCTGCCTGGTGAGACCTGGGTTGTTTTGGTTTCTCAGGCATGACACTGAAATGATTAATACATGTTTTCACATCCCAACATGCCTGATTTATTGCAGCAAGCTTGCAGGTCTACAAGCTCTGCTTCCCTCTTCATCTCTCTCTTGGTACCTATATTCTGCTGTATTTACTTTGCTTCACCCCCCTCTACACAATATTACTTGTACTGTATGTAGACAAAATCAAGACAGATCTGTTGGTCCCTGCACACACTGTGGTGGAAGCTACAGAACTGCAAAACCTTCCTTTTCTGATAGCAACTCTGGATGTCGATTCTTAAGGCGAAGGATGATGAGACAAAGTTGTTGTTGATTTAGTCTGTCTGGGTTGTGGTCCCCAAATCTTTGCTCTTTCCTTTGGGACTAATTCTCTCTGATTCCAGGCTTTTTTTAGTCCTGGAGTCTCACTGGCTTCCAGAAAAGCAGCTTATTTTTAAGATTAGCTTTTGCTGATGCAAAAGGCCCGATTCAGTTTTCCTCCTAAATCCTTTCTCTTTGGAGTATGCAGTTTACTCCAGCTTTTGAGACCAAACTGTACATTTTGATCATTGTTTTACTCCTTTTTGCATGTTCAGATTTATCTTTCACAAGTCAAGCTCTTTAGGTCATTTCATTAAATCAAGAGGCTCTTTCATTTTCTCTCCTATTCTTCAGCTTAGTTTTATTTACTCTGTGTAACTTCTAAGGGATAACATTTGTGATTATCAATGGCAAGTAAAGAGCATACCACAAACCAGAGCAGTCCAGTGAGAAGGTTTTATTCCTAGTGAATAGATTAAACAATAGGCTTATCTGACACTGGCAAATACGAGATAGTCCTTTAGGTCTTGTCTGTAGTCAGGGAGATGTCCTTTTGAGCCTACATTTAAAAGCTGGGCTCAAAACCACTTGCATGCCAAGGCTTAAATCTGTGTTTCAAAGGTAAATCTTGATTCATGTACTGCTACCTTCAAGAGGAGCCTCAAACTGGACATTTGAGTCAAGCAAACTCTGGTAGCTTAATTTATGAAGGTTTTCTTTTTGTCTAAAGCGTGTGTCAGAGTTTCTTAGCTGCCAAAAGACCCAATTTCACCTTCACTTCATGCTGGCAACCTCCCTTTTGCAGCCCTGTGGCTATTGTGTGTTACTGAAGCAGGAATCTCCAGGAAGGTGAGAAACTATTATTGCTTTTTAGCACGCTTGACATGACATTGGCTCGGAGCTACGTTTGGAGCTTCAAACCTTTCAGATGGCTTTAAACCAACTTAAACACCTTCATTTAGCGTTCTCGCTGCCATGAGGTCATAGTTTGCAACAAAAAAGATCAAATGGTGTTTAACTTATGATTTTTTTTTTTTGGTAAGTATTCTCATACCAAAGGGCTGTAGCTGTGGATACTGGCTTGGGGCCAGACAATCAAGATTTAGTATTTTGACCAGCTGTGATCCAGTAATGTCCCTCCGAGGAAACATTTTGCAGGGAGGAAAAGATACATATTTGAGCCTGTGAATTGTATTCTGTCTCTCATAGTGCTTTACAGTTTCTCTGAGCCCCTTTGCAGCCAGCTTAAATAAGCACAAGTGAATCTCGACTCCAGGAACCTTTTCTTTTTTGATTGAAGCTACAAAGAGATTCCAACCAGAATGGCTAAAACAACAACTTCAGAAGCGGTTGTGTCCTGCTTCCATCGCTTTATCTCGCCTGTTTACAGCATGGAGTCTGCATCTTGTGCCTGAGAGCTGCAAGAATGCCCAAACGGGCTATTTATTAACCAGTGAAAACTAATATTTGGGGGGGAAAAGCAGCTACTTTGTAGTTTTGCTGCCAGTAAAACTTAGGGCTGAAGTTAGACTGCTAGGAATTGGCGTTTGAGACTTGGATGCAGTTGAAACCTTGAGATTGGTGGGGATGGAATTCTCTTATCTGTAACATCCAATAAATCTGAGGCTAATTCAGAAACTCTGCTTCCTGATAGGAACTATACATACACCCGTAGAGAACCACTTGGAGGCTGAGCCAATGATGACTAAAAGTCCTTAAGGCCTGAAGACAGTTCATCAAATCAGGTTTTATCCTCCGCTGGTGACAGGCCATTCTTTTTGGGCAGGTGTCCACACCAGTTTGCTGTCTCAGTGTCAATGCCCAAGTAATTACCTGTGGCTGGAAGCTGAACCAGCTCAACCCCAGTAAATCAGGTCAAGGTTGTACCTTAGCAATAAAGGACTATACTCTGCAAGCCAAACTCTTTTCACAGGTGGCAATACCTTACTCTAAAGTTTCTGGGTGATTGGATGATAGTTTTTTACTATGACTTGGGTTTTTTGATCTATTTTGTATTAATTCCATGAGCTGGGAAGCCAGTAAAGCATCTCTTTCTGTGGACTTTTCCTTCATGCAGTGCTATGAATTCTGGTAACAGTACAGTCTTTTCCTCAAGGAAAATGCAAATGGAATGAAGATCCTCCATCAGCAGCCTGTTTTCATGAAGTCTTGTAGCAATCTAGTCTTTCTGAGCTCTCTGACAATACTGCTTTTGACCCAAAACCTCAGTTTGACTTTTCGTTCTCACCTGGAGGGAGGTGATGGAACAAGAAAAGACCCTGTGACTTAACTGCTTAATGCACTGTACCTAAAGCCATTTTGGTCTCATTTTACTTGTCTGCAAGACTCTGACCAGGGTTCTACGTAGTACACAGGGAGCTATTCATCTTCTCATGTTTGCTCTGAACACACTTGTCACTCAGCCTAACGTCATTGCTCAGGTTGTCCCTGTGGTCGTGAAGAGGCATCTGGAGAGGGTGGCTTCCCACTGGTCATGAATGGCTCTCAACAGAGAGGAGCTGTGGCTTTAACCTGCCAGAGGGGACACTGAGATGAGCTCTGAGGCAGAAGCTCTTCCCTGTGAGGGTGCTGAGGTGCTGGCACAGGGTGCCCAGAGAAGCTGTGGCTGCCCCATCCCTGGCAGTGTTCAAGGCCAGGTTGGACACAGGGGCTTGGAGCACCCTGCTCTAGTGGAAGGTGTCCCTGCCCGTGGCAGGGGTTGGAACTGGAGGAGCTTTAAGGTCCCTTCCCAACCATTCTATGATTCTATGGTTCTTTATTACCCACCCTTCTCCCACACTTGTTTCTTCTCTAGTGGCTGTGGAAGGAGCCTGGGCTGATCTCCAAAGCCCTTTGTGCATATTGACTTTTATCTAAATGCCTTAGGTAATACTTGATAAGCACTTAAACCATTCTATTGACTTC